CTTGGTTGATGTCTCTAGGATTATATTGGCAATGCAATCCTAAGCATCATAGATTTCAGGAATAATTTTTGCCATCTTAAGTATGTGATTAAGACATTTTAGATGACAACTACAAATGCTCATGAGCCAAGGATTTTTGGGTCCAACATTCATACATGGCCAGTCTCATTGAGATAGCTTACCCATCATTTGCCATCATTTGCATTCTGAAACTTGAGGCTCAAGGGTGTCAATTGCAAAAAAAACCTCTTTGGGTTTATAAAAGTCATGCTTTATTTGGGGTTTATATCTCTAATCAAACATGACAGCATTAAGGAGATTTCTGTTTAGACTAATCAATTCCATGCACTCTCTCATAAGAGTTTAGATATTAATCCTTTTGAATTCAACATTGATATATTGGAGGTGGACAAATTTTTGTTCACTCTCCATTCCTTCTTTGACTAGCCATTTTCTTCCAACCAAATGATGGATGTAATGTAGAGTATATTATGTAAGCAATCACAAGAGCATTTTCATTAGATACCAATCATGGAAGAAGAAAACAGAAATTATTTATCACTGCTTTTTTGTATTGAGCCTCTTGTATAACTTCTATTTATTTGAGCTTGCATTAGCCTCAAATGTTTTGGAGATTGATGGTGGTGTGCTAGTCTTCTATGCTGTCAACCCAGTAAACATTTATCCCTCTTAGTGATTATGTTTTTAATTCAGTGGTAAGCCTCATGACTTTCGATAATGCTCCTCATGACACATTCTCCAGGAGTGCATCCACAAGCAAAGCAAGGTTGGGCAGCTGCAGGGCTGTGCACTAGCATAACCATGCACATTCCTTGCCCACACCAGGTTCAACAGCCACATCATTGTGCATCACATTGGTTCGTCGCACATGCAGGATGAAACCAGCAAGATGAAAAAAAATTTGCAAGTTAAATCCAAACCTTGAAGGGGGAATAAATGATTCAACTCCAGGGGTAAGAACAGTCTTTTCCACTTACACTAGGTCTCATGTAGCCAACTTCTTGTAGACGGAGGAAGAGCTCTCTAGGTTTGGTAGTTTCCTCAAGAATCCAACTTTTGATTGAGTGAGAGAGCATACAGGCCGCATTCGGGAGTAAGGTGTTGAATATCACTAGCTTGATCACTTACGTGCTACATGGACTGGGAGTGGTAATCTACTGGGGCTAGGAGTGGACATTTAAGTCTTTCTTCTCACTCAACTTTCAGTTGGTGGGGTTTGTACATTATCATTGTCCAGGTATGTCAGTTCGTTCATTTCTTAGAGAGTTCTTACTGTGGGTTTTCCGATACAGAGATCATCCAAGAAGGCCTGCCTCAACAACATTGCTGGTGATGGCACTTGGAGGAAAATCGTTTATGCTGTAGTGCTAGTGTTGGTCGTTTTGACGCTGTTGCCGTTGTAGGATGGCTTGGCCACCCAAGAACCGGACTTGCTATCTATTTATGTGAAAGCTTCCAGGAGAAACGATGGTTTTTTCCCCAACGTGAACTCTTAGGTAGAGGCGCTGTGCAAGGCCAGGAAGATCTTCAAGGGACACGAGCTGTTCAAGCAGCTCATCTCTCTGGGATTCATTCCCAGCAGCGACATGTGCTACAATCGTCGACAGGCTTTGTAGGCACCAGTCTCAAGAAGAGAAAAGCGAAGAAGAATATGAAGATGATGCAGAAGAAGCTCTGAGGGAGATGATCGATAGTGGATTTGTGCCTGACGACTTGATCAGAGAAACAAAACGAAGAAATAACAGGAATTTTCTTAAAGATTTTGTTTCCTTGGATTAGACTTTGTTACACTGAAAGTTTGACTGAAGCAGGGTCTTGGACTAGACTCTGGTGTTTGACTAACCAGAGCAGTGTCTTTGACTACGACTAAGTCAGTGAAACAAGTGAGTCATGCACGTTAACTTTCGTACACAGAGCAAACTAGTCACTATGAGTCTCTCCATTCATTCTCAAGGTTTTTACACTTGGAGGAGGATTCATTCACCATGATGAGGAAGCTGCAGATCATAGTGGTCGATCTTGGTTGTGATTCTTAATATTGCTTTTCACGTCCCATAGCCCAAGACAGGAAGATGGTGTACGGAGTGATCAAGGTTCCTCATTTGGAAGATCCCGTTCCTGGGCCTCAGGTCTTCTACAAGAGAAAGAAGTCACCGTAATCGTTTCTGTAGAAGAAAGAATAAGGCTGTGAGAAAAACAAATTGCTTAAATACCAAAAGAAAAAATAACACCTAGTTTTAGAAACAGTAGCACCAAATCTTAAGCTACTCAGATTTCCATCTCCTGCTTCTCATTCTCGTTGACATTGCTCACTTAGGACGTGAATCTTGTGAGTTGATCATTCTCTTGTTTTATCTTTTCATTTTCTTGCTTGATCTTCTCATTCTCCTGTTTGATAATCTCATTCTCCAGCTTAATCATCTTGTTATGCTCTGACATGGTGACTGAAAGCCTTAACTCTCCTGCTTCTGGTTCATACTGTCAGCCACTAATCCAAGCTCTCGAGATTGCCCTTGCAGACTGTTGAAGTCATTCGTCTTGTTGGCCAGCTGAGTAGTTGTCGTGCTCAGCTTGCCTTGAAGGCCTTCCAACTCTTTTTTCGCCACTCCCTTTCCATCCATGAGCTGTTGGGTTGCAAGGTCAGAGTAAGGTGAACAGTCGCGACCGAGACTGTGAAAGGAAAATCTGCTGAAGTGAGTGGCTCCTTTGCTATCACCCACTTCCAGCTTCCGCCAAGACAAGCAAAAGAATGTCACGAGCAACGAAACGAGCATCTGGATCGTGGAGCTAACGGAAGTTCATGCTTTAACTCAAGGTGGACATCGCAAAGGGAAAGTTATCTCGTATGAAACATTGACCCAGCTTTTGCAAGGGATCATGCTTTGGATTTTACGCTCTGTGTGAGGCACCCATCTAAGGTGTACAAACCACACGTGAAAAAGAGATGGATCATGCAAAAGGGGAAGGAATAAACTTTTAGGGCATAGTGGAATCTAGCACATGGCAAATCCACACCGTTGATCTCAAACGGGTCAAACTTTTTAGTTTCAAAGAAGCGACCTGCTATTGCAACAAATCCTGTTGCTGCTGCTTCAACGAGGCTCTCGAGTTAGCACCAGTGCCGCGGAGAGAATGAGAACTCCTTCCTCGGCCCCTCGTCCCTGACGATGCTGCTGTTGAGTGGCGGCTGAGACTGGCCTGGCGACAAGAAGAAATCGTCCAGCTTCGTTGCAATGCGGTTGTTGTGATTCTTCTTGTTGTTGATCGCTGCTGCTGTGGTGGTGTTGTTGCGGAAGAGTGACCGAAGAAATCGTCTGCGTTTTGGAAACTCCCGAGCGCCAGTAGTCCGTGGCCCAGATGTTTCCCTTGGTTGTCATACTGATCCCATCCCATCTTTGGCTGCCTCGCCATCCTTGAGTCCTCGCTTCCTTTCAATTTCCCTGCTGAAAAAGAAGCTTGTTATCAACTGCGGTCCCTCAAATAGCAATGAAATGATTGGGGAATTCCTTCACAAACTGCATGTACTTCATGAATTGCTGAAGATTGAGCTGTTGTGGTAACACATGTTCGGCAGCAAATTCCACGCCAAACTATGACAAGAGAGTGAGTCCAGTAAAATTTATAAGGAACAAAAAAGTTTTCCGCGAAATCAGCCTCTTCCGCAAAGAGATCGAGCGGTCATTGTATGTGAAAGCGGCAAGCATCGAGTTCCAGGAGACAAGGTTGCGCTCCTCGGGCATTCGATCGAAGATGCGCTTGGCCGCAGCAATATGAGGATGTGCAAGGCTGGGACGATGGTGGTGAAGAAGGAGAGTCTTGCCCTCCGGACAACGTCGTCTATAGTATCCTCATCAACGCGTGCTGCAATGTCTGGGAAGATCTACGATGGCGAGAAGCTGCTGGCAGAGATGCTGGAGAAGAAGCTCCAGCCGGACGTGGTGTGCTTCAGCTCGCTCGTCGATTGCCTGGACAAGGCTGGTCGATACGGCGACGCTTATCGGCTCTTCCGGAGGATGGAGAAAGGGTGCAAGCCATCGCGTCGGTGATGCTGGACTCTTTCACGAAACGGGGAGAAGTAGCGCAGGCTCTGGAGCTCGTCGACGAGTTCGTGGACTTGCCGCTGCCATCGGCGGATCTATGAACCAGCTCGTCAAGACGATTGTGGTGGGCGACAAGGTGGGAGATGGCGTCCGGCTACTCAAGACGATAGGGAGCTCTGCCGGAGGAAAAACGCTGGCGAGGCGCTGGAGCTGGTGAAGGAGATGCGAGCGGCTGGCTAAACGTCCGTGGATCTCTCGTGCGCGATTGAGGTGCTGTGCGAGATGAAGATGGTGGAGGTTGTACGAGGAGATGAAATCCTCGCAACAGCAGGAGCTCCTCCCAAGCGTCTCCACTTACAACATTCTTTTGGGGCGCTTGTGCTGTGAGGGACGGTTGGGCGATGCCAAGGACTTGTTCCAGGAGATGATCGAGAGCGGCCGGATCCCCGACGTGAACTCCTACGAGATCTTGGTGGAGGCGCTGTGCAAGGCCGGGAAGATCCTTCAGGGGCACGAGCTGTTCAAGCAGCTCATCGTTTCTCCTGGAAGCTTTCACATGAATAGATCGAGCGAGTCCGGGTTCCAATGCCAATGCCAAGCTGGGTGGCCAAGCGATCCCACAACGGCAAGAGCGTCAAAACGACCAACGCTAGCGCCACAGCATAGACGATTTGCCTCCAAGTGCCAACACCAGTAACGTCGTTGAGGCAGGCCTTCTCGGACGATCTCTGTATCGGAAAACACACAGTAAGAACTCTCTAAGAAACGAAAGAACTAACATACCTGGAATGCGTGAAAGTTGAGTGAGAAGAAAGGCTTAAACGTTTCTAAGATTACCACTCCCAGTCCGAGTAGCACGTAAGCTCAAGCCAGTGATATTCAACACCTTACTCCCGAATGCGGCCTGTATGCTCTCTCACTCAATCAAAAGTTGGATTCTGAGTAAATTACGGACCTCTTCGTCTACAAGAAGTCGGCTACACAAGACCTGGTGTAAGTGGAAAAGACTGTTGGATTTGAATCGAGCATTTGTTCCCCCTTCAAGGTTTGGATTTAACTTGCAAAATCGAGTTTTTTCATCCTGCTTGCCCTCAGGGTACGAAGTATGTCTCAAGGAATTTAGAAAGAATGCCAACTTACTTGGTTCCTCACTCTTCCTCGGAACTTTGCTCCTCGTTGCTGTAGTCCGAGGCGTAGTCGTCTTCGAGCTCCGGATTTAGATCCAGCTGCACGAACGGCACCTGGATTACTCCTGGAGCCGGTGCCGCTGGAGCTGGAGCCACTTCCGGCAGTGGAACCGGATCTCCGGGCTTCCATCCGGGAGGCATCGGTGGGAGCTTGATTCCGGGAGGCAGTCCGGGAAGAGTAACCGGAGTGGAAGTAGAGGGCGTGAGCTTTCCTGCTGCTGCTTCTTTCGGTGGTGATTTCTCCACCGTTGGCGACGGCAGCGATGGCACTGGTCGCGGTGCGGTTGCCGGAGCTTTCAAGACGCCCAGATCCATGTCGCTGAAGTGGTAGAGCTCCGAAGCTCGCATTTGCTGCTCCTGAGGAGCCGGAGCCAGCACTCCGGGCTGACCGAGAAGATAATCCGGAGGAGCAAACGTCGTGTAGCTGATCCTATGAGCGTAGGAGACGAGCTCGGACACGTCCACCTCGGCGTCCATTGTCTTCCTCTCCTTGGATGGCCGCCTGTACTCCTCGAATTCCTCCAGCGTGAGCTCCAGGACCTGCTCCGCGTCCCTGACGCGCTTGGCAAACTCGCGGATCACCGCGTCCTTGGCCGCCACCGCCTCGGCGATTCGCTGCTTCTCCTGCTCCAGGCTCTGGAGCTCGGCAATCTCGGACACCGCGTCCGATAGAAGCGATTGATGCGAGTCGAGGAGCGCCAGGACGTCTTTGGTGCTGTTGGCGACCAGGCCCTCGGCGGGCACGGGAGCTCCGGCCAGGAAAGGGGGGAAGAGGCTCTTGAGATGGCTGCCTTGCCACGATTTGCTGCCTGCATTGACCAAGTCTGGATCTGGAGAGGAAAGAGAAGAAAGACGCTTTGCTTACCGGCTAGCTCGAGAAGGCGCACTGTGAGGCCCGCCATGTCCTGGAGCAAGACCTGCGCGCGCCTGTGCGGAGGAAGCGCCTGGACCGCGCCTCCCTCTGCCATGGCCCTAGGATGCCCTAACCCTAGCCAGGGACCAAAACATTTCGCGCCAAATATCAAAAGCCCTAAATGCGAATCCAAAGACAAAGGGAAAAAGAAAGGTCTGCGCAGCCACCATTCTCTATAAAAGTTGGATATCACAAGTATACGACAGTGTCCAGACTTCTACTCACCAAGCTTGGTGACCACAAACTCACGAGAAAATTCGACTCTCTTGCTGATGCATTTGGCTTCTCTACGCAGCCAATTGCTTTTCGGGTACCAGAGGAGATGCATGTCGGCCTCCAGACGAATGTTGAACCCGAGCTGAAACTTGGACGCCGTGCTCGCGGGCAGATGCCACACAATAACAGGAAAGTCTTCCACGCTGATTTTTGTTCGTCCTCCTCGAAAAGGCGGCTAGAAAGAAAACGAATTTGAAAACAATCAAGGAATAAAGCATGTACCTCGAGGGAAATTGACCCGGAGTATGGTTTGGATGGATTATACTTCATGCCGTTGTGATTCCAGTGAAGTAATTTCCACTCGACCTTTGCAATGTTCCCTGAAGTTTCAACATGGATCGACTCATACTCTATTGGCTCTTGGCGTGACTGCCCCCACTTCTTCTTGAATGTGAACGATACTGGCCATAAATTAAGTCGAGCTCCAATCTCACCTTCGCTGTTCTTGGTGAGAGTGCTAGAATTGGCATTAACACGGCTGCCGTCACGGAAATTGTAGTCATAGATAGTAATGGCAGAATTTTTCATCTCGCCAAGCTGTGGACTAATATGGAGTTTGATGCGGTATGGGTAAAATCCTAGAGCCTTGGTGTTGATGATTACATCGTTGTCGTCCACACCGAGAAAGAAGTTCTTGATCTCCAGAGCCACCTCATTGTTGGCGCAGCTCTCCCGTAAGGATGGGAGGATCACCATCGAAACATCCACGAGGTGCTGGCTCTTAGGCAGTCCATTGGGAAGATCAAGGTGCAGCTGGTCGAGCAGTGCTGTGCCGGATGGGATCTTTGAGCTGATTTTGATGCAGGGGGACTTCCTCCACGGGGAATCCCCGCGAGGTGTTGCTATTGAACCAGCCATGCGCCGCAGACAGTGGAAACTCACTACGAGGTCGCCTGAAGGCAGGGAGCGGTGGATCGACAAGCTAAAGAAGCATAAAGAAGCATAAAGAAGCAAGAGGAGCTGAGGAGAATGAGGAGGATGGAGGACGGACGTCTTTTTATCCCTTGGAGCTACCCCCCTCTCTTGAATCTACTGGAGCTGCTGCTAATACAGAAAGAATTTTTAATTTTTTTTATTGTTGCAACTGGACAGAGAATTTGGTCAACACGGAAATTCAAGAGCCAAGAAAATTAAACAAAAAGAAATGATCACGTCATCTTGCTTCTTTTTTTTTTTTGCGTGGAGTCTGTGAATCAGCAGCAGCTTTTTTTTGGCTTAGAAAGAGGAGGATTGAGGACAAACGTTGAAAGCTGCTGCTTCAGCTCTTGCTTTTTTCTTTTTGTGTGAAGTTTGTGAATCAGAAGCAGCTCAAGCAGCTGTCCCACCAGAAAATTGGCATTGACTCTGAGAATGTTCAGCCTGGTCTTCCTCCTAATTCAAGCAAATTTTACCCCAGGCTGATGTCACTCAAGGATTACAATCTGAAATGCAGCTTTATTAATCTTTCACCAATGAAAGACAAATCAAGTTTAATGGAATTTGTTATGCTCACTTATCCCTTTAACATGGTGATTGAAAGCCTTAACTCTTGAACTTGTTCGAGGCACAGCAAAACTTAGTGACGTGGACGCCGCTGCTGTGCGTATATTCCACTCCTGGCATCTGGAAGAAGCGCGAGAAATATTCCAGAGAATGCCCGAAAGAGACCAAGTTTCTTGGAACGCGATGCTGGCAGCATTCTCGCAAAACGGATCAATCAGGGAATCTCAGTCGTGCTTCGATTCAATGCCGCAGCACAACCCAATCTCTTGGAGCTCGCTTCTCCCGACATATACCCAGACCGGGCATCCGGAAGAATCGAAGAGAATCTTCGAGTCTATGCCGCAGCGAAGCCCCTCGTCCTGGATCTCGATGGTCGTCGAGTTAAAGAAGCATAAAGAAGCATAAAGAAGCAAGAGGAGCTGAGGAGAATGAGGAGGATGGAGGGCGGACGTGGTGCTCCCTTCTCTCCCTTCTCTCCCTTCTCTCTCTTTACTTTCTCCTGACCTGAAAAATTTTGTCATTTTTTGTTGCCAGAGAATTTGGTCAAGACGGAGGAAGTCAAGGTTTTTCACTGTTTCCTTTGAGTTGTAAAAGCAGATCTTTGCTTTATTTTGTTAAAGTAGCAAGAGAAAAAGACAAGCAAGATGATTGTGAAACAGCAGCTCGCAGCAGTAGATTCCCGGGCTAAAAAAAAGTCACGCTGTCTCTTTTTAAACAAGACAAGCTTTTTTTCTTGGCAAGTAGAAAGACAAGCAAGTAGCCGTAATTTTTTTTTCAGCCCCTCTTTGTGGAGTTTGTGAATCAGCAGCAGCTCAAGCAGCAGTAGATTCAAGAGAAAACAACGTTTGTCCTCAATCCTCCTCTTTCTAAGTCCCACACACACAAAAAAAAGCATCATGTTTTTTTGTTTTTTTTCTTAGCTCCGTGTTGAGCAAATTCTTGCAACAATAAAAAAAATTAAAAAATTCTTTTTGTGAAGCTTGTGAATCAGCAGCAGCTCAAACACCAGTAGATTCAAGAGAGGGATGGTAGCTCCAAGGGATAAAAAGACGTCCGTCCTCCGTCCTCCTCTTTCCCCTCAGCCCTCTTGCTGCTTTCGCTTGTAGATCCACAGCTCCCTGCCTTCAAGCGACCTCGTAACGAGTTTCAACTTTCCCCTGTCTGCGGCGCATGGCTGGTTCACAAGCTCACACCTCACGAGCTGATCGATGGTGATCCTCCTTACTCGAGTTTGCTCGGAGTTGATCTTCCAGTATTCGTTGAGAAGAATTACCAGCAGCTTTACTACCAACAGCCGCTCCAGCAGCAGGTGCTGTTCCGAAGTACCAGAAACACTTGTTTTCCCACCTCTTGCCATCTTGCCGTTGCTGTTGTCTCCACCCTTCTGAGCCCACGAAGAAGATCTCTTGCATGGACTTTCCTGCCACCATTTGCCCGGCTCCGGCTTCCATATTGTTCTTAAACGTCTCTAGCAGGCGGTCTCCAAACGTCCGGATCGTCAGAATAGTTGCCTTCTCCAGAAAAGTCAACTGCCATGAATGACTTTGAGACCAGCCGAAGGAGAGCCAAGGCCTCCTGGAACCTCTTTGAACGCCTGCTTCTCGCCATCCAGCTGCTTGACAACGTCCACTTCTTCTGCTAGCTCCTTCTTGCATTTGAGCCACTTCCACGGTATTTAAATGCCTGGAAGAAAAACACTATGGGCTTAGAAAAAGAAATGATTTAAAAAGTTTCTACTCAACACCTCGGCCCCTCATCCCTGACGATGCTGCTGTTGAGTGGCGGCTGAGACTGGCCTGGCGACAAGAAGAAATCGTCCAGCTTCGTTGCAATGCGGTTCTTGTGATTCTTCTTGTTGTTGATGCTGCTGCTGCTGCTGCTGCTGCTGCTGCTGGTGTTGTTGTTGCGGAAGAGTGACCGAAGAAATCGTCTGCGTTTTGGAAACTCCCGAGCGCCAGTAGTCCGTGTCCCAGATGTTTCCCTTGGTTGACGCGGGCCCTCCGTTCATACTGATCCCATCTTTGGCTGCCTCGCCATCCTTGAGTCCTCGCTTCCCTTCAATTTCCCTGCCGAAAAAGAAGCTTGTTAGCAACTGCGGTCCCTCGAACAGCAAGGAAATGATTGGCAAACCTTAATATTTCCTTCACAAACTGCATGTACTCCGTGATTTGCTGAAGAGTACATGGTAATACTGGTAACCAATGTTCGGCAGCAAATTCCACGCCAAACTGTGACAAGTCTGCAAACGTGCTGCAAAGTCGGGAAGATCTACGAGGGCGAGAAGCTGCTGGCGGAGATACTGGAGAAGAAGCTTCAGCCGGACGTGGTGTGCTTCAGCTCGCTCGTCGATTGCCTGGAGAACGGCGACACTTATCGGCTCTTCTAGAGGATGATGGAGAAAGGGTGCGAGCCGGATACTGTCATCGCGTCGGTGATGCTGGATTCTTTCACGAAACGGGGAGAAGTAGCGCAGGCTCTGGAGCTCGTCGACGAGTTCGTAGACGTGCCGCTGCCATCGGCGGGATCTATGAACCAGCTCGTCAAGACGATTGTGGTGGGCGACAAGGTGGGAGATGGCGTCCGGCTACTCAAGACGATAGGGAGCTCTGCCGGAGGAAAAACGCTGGCGAGGCGCTGGAGCTGGTGAAGGAGATGCGAGCGGCTGGCTAAACATCCGTGGATCTCTCGTGCGCGATCGAGATGCTGTGCAAGATGAAGATGGTGGACGAGGCCCGGGGGTTGTACGAGGAGATGAAATCCTTGCAGCAGCAGGAGCTCCTCCCAAGCGTCTCCACTTACAACATTCTTTGCCGCGAGGGACGGCTGGGCGATGCCAAGGACTTGTTCCAGGAGATGATCGAGAGCGGCCGGATCCCCGACGTGAACTCTTACGAGATCTTGGTGGAGGCGCTGTGCAAGGCCGGGAAGATCTTCCAGGGGCACGAGCTGTTCAAGCAGCTCATCGTTTCTCCTGGAAGCTTTCACATAAATAGATCGAGCGAGTCCGGGTTCCAATGCCAATGCCAAGCTGGGTGGCCAAGCCATCCCACAACGGCAAGAGCGTCAAAACGACCAGCACTAGCGCCACAGCATAGACGATTTGCCTCCAAGTGCCAACACCAGTAACGTTGTTGAGGCAGGCCTTCTCGGACGATCTCTGTATCGGAAAACACACAGTAAGAACTCTCTAAGAAACGAAAGAACCAACATACCTGGAATGCGTGAAAGTTGAGTGAGAAGAGAGGCTTAAACGTTTCTAAGATTACCACTCCCAGTCCGAGTAGCACGTAAGATCAAGCCAGTGATATTCAACACCTTACTTCCGAATGCGGCCTGTATGCTCTCTCACTCAATCAAAAGTTGGATTCTGAGTAAATTACGAACCTGTCTGTCTACAAGAAGTCGGCCACACTGGATTTGAATCGAGTATTTGTTCCCCCTTCAAGGTTTGGATTTAACTTGCAAAATCGAGTTTTTTCATCCTGCTTGCCACGAAGTAAGTCTCAAGGAACTTAGAAAGAATGCCAACTTACTTTGTTCCTCACTCTTCCTCGGAACTTTGCTCCTCGTTGCTGTAGTCCGAGGCGTAGTCGTCCTCGAGCTCCGGATTTAGATCCAGCTGCACGAACGGCACCTGGATTACTCCTAGAGCCGGTGCCGCTGGAGCTGGAGCTGGCGGTACCACTTCCGGCAGTGGAACCGGATCTCCGGGCTTCCATCCGGGAGGCATCGGTGGGAGCTTGATTCCGGGAGGCAGTCCGGGAAGAGTAACCGGAGTGGAAGTAGAGGGCGTGAGCTTTCCTGCTTCTGCTTCTTTCGGTGGTGATTTTTCCACCGTTGGCGACGGCAGCGATGGCGCTGGTGGCGGTGCGGTTGCCGGAGCTTTCAAGACGCCCAGATCCATGTCGCTGAAGTGGTAGAGCTGCGAAGCTCGCATTTGCTGCTCCTGAGGAGCCGGAGCCAGCACTCCGGGGTGACCGAGAAGATAATCCGGAGGAGCAAACGTCGTGTAGCTGATCCTATGAGCGTAGGAGACGAGCTCGGACACGTCCACCTCGGCGTCCATTGTCTTCCTCTCCTTGGATGGCCGCCTGTACTCCTCGAATTCCTCCAGCGTGAGCTCCAGGACCTGCTCCACGTCCCTGACGCGCTTGGCAAACTCGCGGATCACCGCGTCCTTGGCCGCCACCGCCTCGGCGATCCGCTGCTTCTCCTGCTCCAGGCTCTGGAGCTCGGCAATCTCGGACACCGCGTCCGATAGAAGCGATTGATGCGAGTCGAGGAGCGCCAGGACGTCTTTGGTGCTGTTGGCGACCAGGCCCTCGGCGGGCACGGGAGCTCCGGCCAGGAAAGGGGGGAAGAGGCTCTTGAGATGGCTGCCTTGCCACGATTTGCTGCCTGCATTGACCAAGTCTGGATCTGGAGAGGAAAGAGAAGCAAGACGCTTTGCTTACCGGCTAGCTCGAGAAGGCGCACTGTGAGGCCCGCCATGTCCTGGAGCAAGACCTGCGCGCGCCTGTGCGGAGGAAGCGCCTGGACCGCGCCTCCCTCTGCCATGGCCCTAGGATGCCCTAACCCTAACCAAAAATTTCGCGCCAAAGTTTGAGTTTGCCAAAGCCCTAAATGCGAATCCAAAGACAAACGGAAGCCACCACCTTTCTTTTTTCATTCTCTATAAAAATTCATTTGGCTTCTCTACGCAGCCAGTTGCTTTTCGGGTACCAGAGCAGATGCATGTCGGCCTCCAGACGATAAAGACGGCTGCCGTTGTAGTCATAGATAGTAATGGCAGAGTTTTTCATCTCGCCTAATATGGAGTTTGAAGCGGTATGGGTAAAATCCTAGAGCCTTCGTGTTGATGATTACATCGTTGTTGTCCACACCGAGAGAGAAGTTCTTGATCTCCAGAGCCACCTCGGTGTTGGCGCAGCTCTCCCGTAAGGATGGGAGGATCACCATCGAAACATCCACGAGCTGCTGGCTCTTGGGGAAGATCAAGGTGCAGCTGGTCGAGCAGTGCTGTGCCGGATGGGGTCTTTGAGCTGATTGTGATGCAAGGGGACTCCCCACGAGGTGTTGGTATCGAACCAGCCATGGTGGAAACTCCACTACGAGGTCGCCTGAAAGCAGGGAGCGGTGGATCTACAAGCTAAAGAAGCATAAACAAGCATAAAGAAGCAAGAGGGGCTGAGGAGAATGAGGAGGACGGAGGACGGACGTCTTTTTATCCCTTGGTGCTCCCTTCTCTCTCTTGAATCTACTGCTGCCTTAGGTGCTGCTGATTCACAAGGCCGACAAAAAGATTTTTTATTTATTTATTTTTGTTGCAACAGGAGTCTTTTTTGTTTTTTTACTACTCGGGTGACTTGAGCTCTAAAGGAAACTTTGAAAATTCCTCCGTTTTGACCAAGTTCTCTGCTTCGTTGTCACTGCTCACATCTATCGAAGGTTTGGAGTGATTGATTGAAGCCTAGAGCTTGAAAATGAAAGCAAGATGACAAGAGAGCAGCAGATCAAGTCATCTTGCTTTATTGTCTTTTTTTTGTGCTTGTGAAGTAGCAAGAGGGGCTGAGGAGAATGAGGAGGACGGAGGATGGACGTCTTTTTATTGGTGCTCCCTTCTCTTTTTCTTGGCAAGAAAAAAAGACAAGCAAGATGACGTGAGTTTTTTTTTCGGCCCCTCTTTGTGGGGCTTGTGAATCAGCAGCAGCTCAAGCAGCAGTAGATACCCGGGCTGAAAAAAGAATCACATCATCTTGCTTGTCTGTTTTTTCTTGGCAAGTAAAAAAGACAAGAAAGATGACGTAATTAGCCCCTCTTTGTGGGGTTTGTGAATCAGCAGGAGCTCAAGCAGCAGTAGATTCCCGGGCTGAAAAAAAAATCACGTTGCCTTTTTTTCTTGGCAAGAAAAAAAGGACAAGCTTTTTTTTCTTGGCATGTAAAAACGACAAGCAAGATGACGTAATTTTTTTTTCAGCCCCTCTTTGTGGAGTTTGTGAATCAGCAGCTCAAGCAGCAGTAGATTCAAGGGAGCAAAGTTTGTCCTCAATCCTCCTCTTTCTAAGCCCAGACAAAAAAAAAAGTAAGATGACGTGAGCATCTTAGCTCTTGAATTTCCTCCGTGTTGGTTGTGACCTGTTGCAACAAAAATAAAAAAGGATTTCTTTTGTGGGGCTTGTGAATCAGCAGCAGCTCAAGCAGCAGTAGATTCAAGAGAGGGATGGTAGCACCAAGGGATAAATAGACGTCCGTCCTCCGTCCTCCTCTTTCTCCTCAGCCCCTCTCGCTGCTTTCGCTTGTAGATCCACAGCTCCCTGCCTTCAAGCGACCTCGTAGCGAGTTTCCACTGTCTGCGGCGCATGGCTGGTTCAACATCAACACCTCGCGGGGAGTCCCCCTGGAGGAAGTGCCGCTGCATCCAAATCAGCTCAAAGCTCCCATGTGGCACAGCACTGCTCGACCAGCTGTGCCTTTATCTTCCCAACGGACTGCCCAAGAGCCAGCAGCTTGCTGTTGTCTCCACCCTTCCGAGCCCACGAAGAAGATCGATTGTCTCCCTCTTGCATGGACTTTCATGCCACCATTTGCCCTGCCTTGGTCGGGCTCCGGCTTCCATATTGTTCTTGAACATCTCTAGCAGGCGGTCTCCAAACCTCCGGATCGTCAGAATAGTTGTCTTCTCCAGAAAAGTCAATTGCCATGAATGGCTTTGAGGCCAGCCCAAGGAGAGACAAGGCCTCCTGGAACCTCTTTGAACACCTGCTTCTCGCCATCCAGCTGCTTGACAAGGTCCATTTCTTCTGCTAGCTCCTGGTACCTGGCCTACATTTTGAGATAGTAAAGAACACTAGTAGTAACAAAAAAACAACAACAAATAACAACACCTTACTATATAATTACTATAATTGCATTGATTTATACACATTAGCCACAAAATGCTAACATGCATTTGCTTCTCCATCATTTCTAGATCAAATAAATGTAATGCTTATTTTGTATTACATTGTGAAGTCTGTTGGTTCAACTCAAAAGAATTACTATATAACATAGCTTATACCCTACCCAGGCTTAGTTTCTTTTATGTTGATGAGATTCCTCAATTCTTTGCAAATCTTCTACAAGTCCTTTAACTTATAAATACTAGACCATCTTTCAGCATGCTGACTAGATTTTCATGGCACATTTCATTTACAAATACATTATATACCATTTCAGAGTCCCTACAATCCTCATTTCAAATCATGGTTACACTTTCCTTGGGCAAGTCACACAATGGCTCCTCCAGCTCTTAGAGGTGCATCATATGAAGAGTAGTAGTTACTACCCGCAGTTGAACAGCTAAGCTAAGTCAGCTTTAAGCTTGGGCATGGGATCTTCTCAAACTCAATGAGCAACGCTGTGTAGCAACCAATCACCTTTTTGCCACCATGTGCAAGTACAAGGGACAGCGTGATCAATTCTGATGGGATGACCTTTTCCCACTGGACAGTTTGTGATGCTCCAGGATTTTAGGATTTTGCACCTTCTACAAAATTCTCTCCCAGGTGGCTTGGTACTTTTTACTACTTTTCTACACTATATCATATATTCACCATATGCTTTATTCATCATTCAAGAAGCCATCCTGATGTTTGAGAGCATATTTACTCAAAGAATAATTTGAGAAAAGAACAGACATTGTACCTCAAGTGCCACTGCAGCCAGTTCGAGCTCATGATCAATCTTGGAAATCTTGCTTGAATCAGCATCCCCGGCCGAGGAGAGCCTAGGACGACCACGGGAAACAGCCCTCTCCGGGAAAGCACCGGGCCGGACGCAGCAGTCCGAACCAGAATCCACGTACTTGGTTCATCAGCTTCAACCTAGTTGTTGCAATGGCACTTTGAATTTGAACTAAAAACAACATATCGACAGTATGTTGTGGTGCAAAGCCGGCATGGAGCACGACTAGTGTCCTCAACATGTTTAGTGCGAGCATTTTGATCACCAATTTGATTCCAAGAGAGAACAACACTATACAGAAATCGCAACAACAACCGCCAGTTGTAGATTGTGATTATTCTCTGCAATCTGACGATGGAGCAGCTCGAAACCATCATCTTCGCATCATCAGCAGCCTCATTTAGACAAAGAATCAGAAAGAAAAAATTGATACCATACCTGAATTGTAGCAGCAGCCAATCCGGCAACTCGGGAAGTCTTGGACGATTCACCACGCACTAGAAGATTGGGGGTTTTTTCTTAACTTTCTATTGACTTTCTATTGAGAACGCTGTTGCGCATCTACTGATGTGTTTGCTATCGCAAGCTTGGTCGCTCAAGCCTCTCAAGCTCTTTTCAACTACAAGCGAGAGGAGTCCATCGATCTTCAGGTATGTCCTCTTCTCATAGAACAAGAACTAAACAATGAAAGTCAAGCAGACCAAAATTTTCAAAGCACATTTTTTTTCCCCTGGAATCTTTTCACTTTGGAACGAGCTCGGGAACTTCCCTGCGACCATCACTTAGGCTGTTCATTTAGTGTGCAGCCTCAGCATCTTGAAAGGGACAGGTGACATGTAGAAGTTTATTCCATTGTTAAAGTTATCGCTGACTGCCGCATCGTGAGCATGACTCACGAGATTGACGAAGATTTCTCTACAAGAAAATACGCGGGAGCTGGCTTCGTTGTGGCTTCATCTACACGACAATAAGAGTGACGCAGCAAGGTCAGTGTTCTCCCATTCTCGCAACACCAGCAGCAAACGAGCAAGATGGCAATGGCAGGGGGGTATTTCTCCCATCTCGGTTCGCTCATGGGCTTCATCATGATCCTCAACCAGATAGTTCCACGCCACGTCTGGTTCCTTCTGGAGCTCAAGCTCAAGAGGTTTGTAACTTGGCTATGGTGGGAGACAGAGCTCTCAATCCCAGAGTACGTCCGCAACAACACCAACGAGATCTACGACCTGGTCGACCTCTACGTTGCTCACCTCACCGACACCAACACCAAGAGCTCGGCAAACAGGATCCAGTTCACGCGAGTGAAGAACGCCAGCAAGCCGAATTGCAACCTCGCCAGGGGCGAGCGAGTGGAGGACAAGTTCAAAGGCGTCACATTCTCCTGGGTCTTCAACGTCACCGAGCCCTCCAACGGCAGAGGCTTCAGCTATTTTGATCGCAGTGGAGGAACACGCCGAGAGTACGTTGTCCAAGTTCACAGGAGGCACAAGTATACACTCTTGCCCGAGTACATGAGGGAAGTGATCAAGCTCGGAGAGAGCTTGAAGCACCAGAACCAAGACCGGCAGCTCTACACCAACATAGGAAGCTCGGACGACTGGGGTTACAGGAACAAGCCGTGGAGATCGGTGCCTTTCAAGCATGCCTCGACGTTCTCGAGCCTGGCGCTGGATCCCGAGCTCAAGAACAAGATCGTCCAGGACCTGGATTCCTTCATGGCTGGTAAGGATTTCTTTGAGAGAGTTGGGAGGGCTTGGAAGCGCGGGTATCTCTTATACGGGCCTCCGGGGACTGGGAAGTCGTCACTCATCGCTGCCATAGCAAACTACACGCAGTACGATGTCTATGACATGGAGCTAACGGAGGTGAAGAGCAATGCCGACTTGAGGAAGCTGCTCATGGGGATTTCCAACAAGGCGATCATCGTGATCGAGGACATTGACTGCTCGCTGGAGCTCAAGAAAAGGGGAAAGCCAGCCCCAGAGGAAGAAACCAGTGAAGAGTCCAAGGAGAAAGATGGAGCGTTGCCAGGGAAGGAAGCCAAGAAGAAAGATGAAGAGAGCAGCAGGGTCACACTCTCGGGGCTACTGAATTTCATCGATGGGCTGTGGTCTTGTAGCGGGAGCGAGAGGATCATCATCTTTACGACAAATCACAAGGAAGATCTGGATCCCGCACTACTGCGGTCGGGCAGGATGGACCTTCACATTTTGATGGGCTACTGTGGATTTGAGGCGTTCAAGGTGCTGGCGTGGACTCACCTTGAGATCTCGCAGAAGGGCGAGTTTGAGAAGGAGTTTGGAGAGATCGAGGAGCTGATCGCCAAGGTTGAGATCACTCCTGCTGATATCGCGGAGGTGTTGATCCAGAACAGGGGGAACTCGAGAGGGGCTCTAGAGAAAGTGATTGAGGCTCTTCGGGATCAGGCTGCAAAGAAAGATGAAGAAGATGAGGGGGACGGTAAAAGCAAGCAGGAATGATCAAAATATCTGAAGCAATGCACTACCCGTGGTGGAGTACTATTTCTAGACCACCAGCGGTGCATTACAAATCAAATTCACAAATGAATTTCCTTTTGGACAAGAAGAATGCCAATAAACTACCACCAGAACTTATAGGTCCGTCACTTTTGGTCAATTCTGCCCAAAAGATTATGTTGGGTACTTTGGAGAACTTTGGCTTAACCAACTTGATTGTTTCAGAAATTATCCAAAAGATTATCATGCAGAAAATAATGTTTACCTCCAAGAAGTATCATTCTTGGAGCAACCAACGATGCCAACGAAGAGCAGAAAAACACTATGGGCTTAGAAAAAGAAATTATCTAAAAAGTTTCTACTCAACAAGCACAGAACTCTTTAGCTCTAGAGAGACCAAAAATCCAAACTTGAGCCAAGGAAAACAAAGGGATCTGTGCCAATGCAGCTGCTATATTACATTCTCTAGGCATCAAAATGTTTAAGCAGCCAATCACATCAAAAACAAAGAAATCCTCCACAATGCAGCTCCGCCAAGCATCACTCAAGCATCCCACGGCGAGCTAGAGGCAGATCTATCGAAATCCAGGGCTCATACCGAGGGACAAGGCCACTTACTCGTTAATCTGCGATTGCTCCATCATAGAAGATAATCGAGGTGTCGCAAGATCCCTCCAGCGCATACTCCCACGCCAAGTTGCTATGCTCCTGGACCAGGAGCCTTGCTATGGTGCCTACCGTTGCTCCTACTCACACTCTAGGGTTCTATGAGCTTGCTCAAGGTTACCGCTGGCGTGGAGCCCACGTGGAACTTCCGGGATTTATTCAAACGTTCTTTTCCCTCCAAAACTTACACTAATGAATGTTCCATCACTAAGCAATTTGTATTTGTGACTTTAGTTTGTAAATTTCACACTCGAAAACTATGTGGGAGATTACAATAAATGTTCCACACTCAAAATCTATGTGGAAGTTGACATTAGAGGGTACTTAACGCAAGTAGGATTGCAAGTTGGAAATCCACAATCTATATAGTGAGTTGACTGAGATCTTCCAAAATACCAATCTCCTACAGCTTTTGCTAATGACTGTAGAGCAAAGAAAAAAAATATTAATCACATAATTTAGACTTTATCTGGAAAAAAACTATAAACCTTTCCATGTATTCTTGGTCTTGTCCATTTGATGTCTACCTCAAGTTGACAATGGCTAAAGCAAGAATCGATAAAGGTTCCCCAGCCTGCTCTAGATTGAGCATAGAAGAGACCATTCAGTAGATTTTGTCGGAATGCTTGAAAGTTCAAGATATGTTGTAATAAAATAAGTTCATGAAATAATTATAGAGCTTTCTACCTTGCAAAGTTTTTGCATGGAAACAAGAAGCAAATCTCATGCAAGGGCTGTATTGTCTCCAGGAAATCTCTTTTACATTTTCAAGCTGTAGAAATTCGTTGAAAAAAAGTTTGAAATTAAAAGAGAATTACCTGCCAATTATCATATGCTGCATTAACAAAAAACGTGGGCTGTCTTATGTAGCCCTGTGCTTGTTGTGGAAAGAAACACTAGGAAGAAAAATACTAACACTCAGATTAAGAAAAAAATTATGAATTAAAACCTGCACTGGATCTTTTGCCGAGGTACAAGCTCTAGCCAGGGTGTTTTGCAATTTCTGTCTTATGGCATATTAAGAAAATAAAACAAAATTATTAAGAAATTCCTCAGAAACCTGTAAATTCACCACTCCTTTGTAATAGTTGTACATGGCAAAGTTTCCTCGGATGCTTTGGCTGACAACTCAAGTGGGTGAGTTAAAATACAAATTTAAAGAGGAAATTACCCATTCACAAAGTAACCAGCATCACTCAAACATTTAACGTTGGCATTAGGTAGAAGATATTTGAACTCGTTACAACGATGAACAACTCCAAGTCCTCCAGCAGAGCACCCACTTAAAAGTGCCTATTAACCAGCATAAAAATCAGCTAGATTATCAATTAGCAACCTGTTTAGCAGTGCTCAGTCCCTTGGTTTGCAGGTGCTTCACAACAGCTCTAAAAATTCTGAGTCCTCGAAAATATAGAGCCTGAAGAGAAACTAAAGAAGTATATGAACCCCAGCTTAAGAAAAATAATTATCTTAACTTGTCCAGACCAGTGCCTTACTGGAACAGCAACATCGGCACTGAAAGATCCTCCATCACAATAACGCACATATACATGGTTCCAGTTGTAGAAATCTTTTACAGCAAACAACATAATAATAATTAGGTGATTCATAAATTAATATCACTAACATACCTGGATTGACAGAATACTTGTTGCTAAGAATACCATTAAATAATATTTGATTGGACATGAGCTTGGAGCTTCCATGACTTGTCTTGGCTCGAGTGGCACAAGCGGATGAGCTTTCACACCAGCCTCCACCCTGTCATTCACATTCCTCCAATTCCAACTATACAGTATTAAATACACAAGATTGACTCACTTCCAAACGTATATGCCAGTTCTTCGCACCAGAGCCAAAACCAGGCCTCAAATGATATGCTGGGGCGCTCCCATCCAAGCAAACTGCAAGAGAATTCATGGAACTTTGTTTGATCGAGAAAGGAAAAGTGCGAGAGAGAGACCTGCTCCAGATTGCCTGGCGTCTTGAAGAAGAGTGATGCCTACAGCATCTCCAGCTTTCTCTTGAGTGTAGTTTATAGCCTTCGTAAATGCCGCGTCTGGGAATGGGGTCAATCCAAACGAGAATCGAAATTGGAGGAGCAAACTTAGCAGAGCTGGAAATCTTATAAGCATTGCACTTTCGAAGAGAAGCACGAAAGCAAGCCAAGCGCAAGAGAGGAAAGGATTCCTGGAAGAAGGATGAGAACAAATGAAACACCCGCTGGAAAGCACTGGCTAAATTCTATTCTTTCAGTCCACATCTAGTCTTTGGTGGAGAAAGGGACCGAATGAACGTCATGCCAACTTCCAAGAATTAAATAATTCTTTCTTAGCTTTGAAATCTCTTGACAGTTTATATGTTACTAAAAGGGTGCCATGCACGGCATGGTTAAAATTTAATAATTGTTCCAAATAATCTTCGTGAAAATATAGTTAGTGACTACACAGGAGTAAGTATGTACATGGCTACATCGTGCGATTCAACTCTGGATGTAATACTGGAATTATACGTGCCCGTGCCTGGAAGATCTTGATGCTAAGAAATTCACACCAATATTAGAAATCCTCCAAAGTTAATATAGAAGATGTTACGTACCTTCCAAACATCGCGGATCATCACTGAAACGTTACTAGGAATGCCAAGCGCAGCAAATTCGGCTGTGATATCAGCTGGATCACTGCCTCGATTGAGCATCAAGAGCGCAAATCTCCCGTTTGAGAGCGGGCCTCCCCACACCTGAATCAAAACTTGTGCATTTTCTTCTCCTCAATCACATCCACTCAAATTTACCTCTTGTTCTCCATCTCCCGCCACCTTTCTTCCTTGAACCCCTAGCGCATCTATACAAAGACGTAGAGAGAAAATGTACGGGCAAGAGAGAGGGATTTGGGCCTCACCTTGGTTGATTTGGATCACCTCTTTGTTCATGAGAATGGCCAGGTCCTGGGCCACAGTGTTCCGTACGTCGCAACCAATAATCAACGGTGCCTGTTCGTTTAGGTCAGATTCTTCTTTTCCCTCTCTTTTTTCCATTTGCCCTTACTTTCATGAGCGCCCACAAGCTGAAGTGCGTGCGCGATTCCTGGAAGCTCATGCCGCCATTGCCGATCTCCAGCATGTCCGGATCTGGTCGATCGAGGATGAGGCCCTCCAATCGAGGTAAGAAATCAAATGCATTCATGGATTATCGTGTGTGTTCCTTACCATTCCATCCTCCCGGAGCGGCGTGCTCGGCCCACGCATTGTTCTTGTCCGCGATAGAAATCATCCTGCATTGTTTGTTTGGCGGAGTGATCGTTCCTTTGAGTATAAAATCCTTCTTTTGGCCTTACGATTCCCATTTGTTCTCTATATCCCCGGTTGTTCTCCAGCTATTTCCGACGCTCGATGCCCATGTTGCTGGATCTTCCTGACCCCTGTCAACCAAAAAAATGGAAGAACTCAGCCATCTCTCGCTTACAATTTTTTTTTTCTCTTCGCAGTTTCTTACCATTCACACATTGAGAAGAAAATCGGCCGGCCTGCCGCACTAAGAGCGTCGCGCATTATGGGGTATCTGTCCATCAAAGAAACGAAAGGATTCATTCTAGCCGAGCGATTTTTTATTACCGGATTCTCGGTGAGCTTCCATCGGTGTGACAATTGTCATACTTCAAGTAATCCACTCCCTGCGCAGCACAAAACTAACGCGAAGTTTTTGTCACGCAGGATCTACGTACCCATGCAGCAAAAGTTTTGGCGTCTTGATCTTCGTGATTCAAAGATCCTGGCTGTTCCTGGCACGTCAAGTATCTAAAGAATCAAGTTGATATAATCTGGTAAGCTCGTTTTTTACTTTCCAAAGTCTTACCCAGCGTCCGAGTAAATCCCAAACTTGAGGTTTTTAGAATGCACGTAGTCAGCCAAGGCTTTGATTCCTGACGGGAATGTGGAGTTCCGTGCTTGAAGGTTTCCCTGCATTGAGAAGCAAAGTTACTAGCGAGAGTTTTAGCTGTAGAGATTTTTACCTCATTGTCTCGTGAAAGCTCCGCCCAGCAATCATCTAGATATCAATTTTGTTAACTCGTTCGTGGCTCTTTGCAGGACCTTACCAATGTTTACATACTCGTAGCCAACATCTCTGAGGCCAGTAGACACAATCGCATCAGCTGTATAGAAAAAAAGAAGAAGAAGATCGATCAAACTGATACTATGAATTCTACGAGGTAAAGTTCTTTGCTACTGGTTGCTCGAATGATCTCCTCGTTGATTCCACAGTGGAAGTAATTCCAGCTATTCCATCTGGCAAAACTCTACCTCAGCAGCAATAAAAAACCAGGAACTCGAGAGAAAGAAGAGAGACCCCATTGGCGGTGTTCTTCCCAGCCCATTCTCCAGCAGCCGGTGACGCTCAAAAGAATCGCTGGATCGAACGAGATCCGTGAGAAGCAGCACCAGCAACACGAGATAATTCTTGGCGGCCATCGTTCTTGTTTCACGAGGTTTCGTCTTCTTTTTGTTGTTTGTCATGCCAGCCGGTTGATTCATGTGATTTTTGGAAGTAGTATGTGACCCAGCGGAGCTGCCCATGCTTGACTTTAATAAATCTCGCAATCTAAGGTTGTAGTATAGCTGTACGAATTATAAGGGAATAAAGCATATTTTGAATATTATAGTCTGCTTATAATTATTAATACAAAGCACTCAAATCAATGAGTAGTGAAAAAATCTAATTATTCTTTTCTGTTAATATAACTTAATAATTCTTTTAGCAACTAAAAAGCATTGCCTCGGTCTTTGCCGGAGAATTTATCCACGATGGCGAGTGCGAACTCCATTGCAACCACGAACGTCGCGGTCGTGAGCAGCAACTCAAACTGGATCAGCTGGTTCCTCAGTTGGACGATCAAAACCAAAGACCATCGATCAAAAACCGAAGAACCATGGATCAAAACCACAATAAGTTAATATATTCAATCCGATGTTTCTTAAGTTGGGCAATATATTGAACAGCCATTTCCTTATTTGGCAGCAAAGTATCTCGATAGTGCATCAGAAACTGCGAGTTCATTCTTAAATACAACGGTAGCTGCAGCATCTTGACCTCTGGCGGCAGCGTCTCGGGCAACAACGGCGGCATCTTTAGCTGCAACCGCAGCCTTTACCTTGACCTTTGCTTTCTCATAAGCTTCCGTAGTACGCTTCTTCATAAAAGCAGCCATTTCCCTGAGAGCAACCATTTCCCTATCACTGGCAGCCACTTCCATATCGATGGTGGCAATGGCAGCAGCATTGCAGCATCGTTGGCGGCAGAGGCTTCTGCGGCCGCGACCCAGAAATATACAAGATCTCGACAGTAAGTCCAGTTTATGGGCGATGTCACCTGTCTTTTTTGAACTCCCTTTTCCCCACTTGCCAGTAACAGCTTCAAGAATTCCTGGAACAGAATTAAAATTTTTTTTCCACAAACTCACCTTCTCCTTGTCCACTGGTGGTCTCGACCGCACGAGTCGATCTTGTATCGCAGCAGCCGCGCCTCTGATTCCTCTTGATTGCTCTCTCCACTAGCGTCCTCAAGCTCCCAAGACTCGAGACAAATACACGAAACGCTCAGCCAAGTCTGTCGCACGGGGATGGCCCCCGCTTTTCACCATTTCCACAAGCTTCTCCTCGGAAACAGGTGGTAAATTGATGCATCCTGGTCAAAAAATCTGAGTGCTCGTCCAGCATGTCTAACCCTCGCCCCTCGGATGACACAAGCCACAAACTATAGCGGGCTTGATCATTGGCTTCCTTCCCAATGTACGCCAGCCTTTCTAGATCTTCTTTCTTCAGCTTGTGGGTGTTGTCCAAAATACTAGCGAACGCGCGGGATCTCCCTTCGAAGACCACTGCCTCCACACTGTACCTGCTTGCCCAACCTGTCCCAAATCGTCTTGGCGCTGCTGAACCTGAGAAGTTTGCATATCCGCGGCTCCCCGAACTTCTTCCACGAGGGTCAAAACGAACTCTTTTAAAGATTCCGAATCTTTCCATGAATTTAAATTAAGCTTACCATTAAGCTAGGTTTATCATCCATTAGAGGAGGCAAGAGGAAAGAACCGGCTAGGAACATTTTAGTACTTTTATGGACAGGGAAGAGTGATAAACTTTCCCATCAATATGTTAGTCCAGGTGTGTTTCTTTTGTTTTGTGTTTGGTTTGGAGTGAATTTCTTTGTTCAAGTTTCAAGTTTTAAAGATTTCTTTCCACTTTCTTTAGGGTTTTTCACGTTCGGTTGGTCCGGATGAAAATTTGCCGTTCGTAACGCCGTTCGTAACACGTACGTATGCAACGTTCGGAAGTTCGATGGTAACTATGGATCATCCCGCAGCATAGAGTAACATGAACTGTGGTTCCATGAGCTCAAGGATTTCATCCTCAGCCTCGCTCATGTTGACGTGCAGCACTGGTTTTGAGACCTCAGGCAACTCAGGGTGATATAAATTCCAGACGAGGTAGGGGGTGTCCGTCGTGACAATATACGCCAGCACGCCGAGCATATACTTCCTGAGCCCACTCGCAACATTGTGCCATATCATCAAGAACTTTATGATCGTGGCCGTCGGTGTCCGCGCCTTTTTGAGATCCGACGGCTGGGGAAGAATTATAAGGGAATTAAATATATGCTTGAATATATTGCAATACATAAATTTGTATATTAATTAAACTTTGCTTTGTAGTGACGTATTGACGTATACTTTTTTATAATTATATATAATAGTTATAATTATTCTTTTCTAGTTATCCCCACCTTTGTTCTTCTAGTAACTAAAAAGCATTGCCTCGGCGGTCTTGACAGCGCTGTCTTTGCCGGAGAATTTATCCACTATGGCGAGCGCAAACTCCATGGCCGTGCCCGGCCCCTGGCTCGTCGCAACCAATCCATCGATCACCACTCTCGCTTCCACCGCGCTCTGGTCCGAGAGCTTGCTCTGGAACGCTGGAAACGCGGTGGCTTTCTTTCCCTGCCAGGAAACCAGCTCAAGGAACACAAAAGCAAAGTCAAGAGTTTTGCGAGAAACTCACAGCGAGTATCTTGTTTGCTTCCAAAACAACTGCTGGAGAGGCACAGATGGCTCCGTAAACTCGGCTGTCTTTGGCCTGTCTCGCGAGTATGGATTGGAGCTCTTTGCTGTCCCTCAAGTGCTCTGCCCCAGGCATTCCACCCTGGAGAAGAGAATCAAAGTTTTCTCATCCGGTCAGGCAAACCAAAGATGCTTACTGGCAAGAAGATCGCGTCGAAGTGAGCGGATGAAACTTCGCCGATGAGATTATCCGCCTCGATCTTCACTTTTCTCGATGCAACAATCTGTAACGTCTCCTCCACCGAGGCCACCACAACGCCCATACCAGCACGTCTTAGAACGTCGATGATTATCACGGCTTCCATCTCTTCAGAGCCGTTTGCTATCGGCACAAGAACCTGAAGAACGGATCAAAGAAACCGTCGATGAGGATCACAAGAAAAGTACCTGAGGCTTTGACGGTACTTTAGCTGCCCAAGCTGTTTGATTGAACTCTAATTTCGTCGGCTTTCCCTCGAGCAAAATCTGACCAAAACAAAACTTTGGAAGCTCAGAAAAAAAACGTGCGAGACAGACTTTGCCACCACCCACCAATCCCTTTGAAACTTCCTGTGTTTTTTCCTTGCCATATAGCTGTTCAACTAAAGTGAGAGCAAACTCCATTGCAGTACCTGGACCTCGGCTTGTGACAACGAGCCCATCTTTCACAACTCTGGACTCTGCCGAGGATGGATCCGAGAGCTTGCTCACGAAACTTGGGTAGCATGTTGCCTGAGCAGAGAAACGTTAGAAAAACTCGTAAAACTGGTAAAAGCTCTCGCTAGATAGACTCGTTACCTTCAAGCCATTGAGAAGGCCCCACGACTCGAGCGCCACAGCCGGCGCCGCACAGATGGCAGCATAAGCTCGTTGTTCCTGAGCTTGACCTCGAGTTATGTCCTCGAGAGCTTTAGAATCACGCAAGTGTTCAGCTCCAGGCATCCCACCCTGAAACCAACAAAAAAAAAATCAGCTTTTGGGAACGAGGAGCAACGAAAACAACGTTCAACGTACAGGAAGAACAACAAGATCGTACTTTTCGTCCCCGCATTCCGATACGATCGCGTCCGCAACCAGCTTCACGCCTCTCGACGCCGTAACTTTGGGTTCCTGTCCGACAGAGGCCACAGTGACATGAGCTCCACCTCGCCGGAGAACGTCGATGACAATCACGGCCTCCATTTCCTCCGTCCCATCCGCAACCGGCACAAGCACCTGAGACAAAGCGAACACAGATAATGCAAAGAACACACACACACACACACACAAGAAACAGTACCTTTTTCGGAGACGCCATAGCAATAATTTTCACACACGACGAAGAACAGCTTCTTCTTCTTTTTGGGCGATCAGCGGAGAGGCCGAGACTCCCCCTCCCGCTAGAAAACGCGACGGCTCGGACGAGCCCAGGAGTGACAAGTGCCCTAACGGCCATTGGAGCACTGTTCGCTATACGTGGCCGGTGCTCCAAGGGACAATAAAATAGAACGAAGCATCGAGCAAGCCGACCACCCTTGTTTTGTTTTGTAAACGATAAAGATCTGGAGAGACGCACACTGTGAGCTCAGAGCATGGATGCAGCGCTCACAGCGGTGTACCTGTTTCTCTTTCACGCTGCTGCGCAGGATTTGTGTTCCAGGAAGTGCGGGAGCTTCACTGCCGACTATCCGTTTGGCTTCGATCGCGGATGCGGGCCTCCGGAGTTTGAGCTCAACTGCAGCAGCGCAGGCAAGCCTCTCCTCCAGACCGTCGCTGGCCAGTTCGAGATCCTCGAGGCGACAGCAACGACTTTGATCGTCGAAACTTCCAGGCTCAAGAGCAACTCGTGCACCGGAGCTGAGGCGTTCTTTGATGTCGGCTCCACTGCTCCATACACTCTGTCAGCAAACAATGAGTTCTTCGCAAGAGGTTGTTCTGTAGAGGGTTCTTACACAGCAGATGCGGAGAGTACACAGCACTGTGAAACGGGCTGCCAACCCGGTCGCGAGCCGAATATCCGGAATCCTTTCTGTGAAGATCTCGAGTGCTGCATCCTGACTATTCCGTCTGGAAAACGCAGCGTTATCATCAAGAGCAGTGCTAACAACGGTACTAGCGACTGCGGCTACTCTAGCGTGATCTTTCCACCGAGCTACCAAGTAGTAACTTACGGGATTGAGTTGCTTTGGGCCATGCCAGGTAACTGCTCCACTTCTGCGCATCTGTGCTCTCTGAATGCTACGTGCTTGGATGCACCCCATCAACCTGGGTTTTTCAACTGCATTTGTAACACAGGATCAGGAAATGGCTTCTCGAATGGAACGGGCTGCTCAGGTAAGCAAAAAAATCTAGAATACCTTTCTTATCCGTCACCAGCACAAGATTCTTAAGTTGTTTTGTATAGCTGTAGTGGATCACTGTGCGAGCTCTCCCTGCTCGGAGGGAGCAATCTGCGTCAACGACCTAAACTCGTTTACATGCAAGTGTAGACAAGGATACAAAGGAAACGCTACCAGTGGCTGCAGGAAAATCGACGTCTTTCAGCACATCACGAGTGGACCTGTTCTTCTGGTCGTAGCTGCTGCGATACTAGCCGGCTCTATCTGCGTCTGCGTCGTAAGAACGAAAAAGTTAGGCCGCAATAAGGGCTTGTTTCCAAAGCTCGGAAGCCTCGCTCACCTCCAGCTCGAGTTCAAGCAGAACGCCACCTTCTTCTCCTTCGACGAGCTCTCGAGAGCAACGCAGAACTTCAAGGCCGAGCTCATGCTGGGAACCGGCAGCTTTGGCACAGTCTTCCAAGGAGTCCTGGACGACGACACTCCAGTGGCGATCAAGAAAGCCAACAGCACCACAGGCCCCCGCATCCAGCAGTTCCTCAACGAAGTCACCATCCTCTCGCAGGTAAATCACCGCAACCTCGTCAAGCTCCTCGGCTGCTGCCTGGAAACCGATGTCCCACTCTTAGTCTTCGAGTTCGTTCCCAATGGAACTCTCTTCGAGCACTTACAGCACAGGAGATCTTCGATCCTCAGCTGGGAGAGACGCTTGCAAATCGCCATCGAGACCGCCGAGGCCATCTCCTATCTCCATTCCTCCGCGGCACAGCCGATCTACCACCGCGACGTCAAGTCCACCAACATCCTCCTGGACGAGAAGTTCACTGCCAAGGTAGCGGACTTCGGGATATCGAAGTTAGTGAGCCTGGAAGCCACGCACGTCTCCACCACCGTGCATGGAACTCCAGGCTACATCGATCCACAGTACCAGCAAAACTATCAGCTTACCGACAAGAGCGACGTCTACAGCTTTGGAGTGGTGTTGCTGGAGCTCATCACGGGGCAAAAGCCTGTGGATTTCTCGCGGAACTCCTCGGACAAGAATCTCACCGCATTCTCGCTCGCTTACATCCAGAGCAGCCGGATCGAGGATATTATCGACAAGGGCCTGGAGCTGGGAGACGAGAGAGCCAAGATTTCGAGCATACAAGAGGTAGCAAACCTAGCGATCCGATGCCTCGAGTTTGATCGGGAGAACAGGCCGGCGATGAGGAGTGTGGCTGAGGAGCTGATGAAAATCAAGCACATCCTCTCCGCGGCGTCATGATTGCCGCGATCAATCGCTCTGCCCATTTGAAATGCCAAACAAAGATCAAACTTTTTTAGGGTTCTTCAACAAGAATATGCAATGAATGTTCAGGTTTATTGGCTCTCATTTGTATTAATTTAGATCAGTTCAAAGAAAAGTTAATGGGATGGAAGGGAATAAAAGCAAGTGTTATTTTTTCTTCTGTTATTTTCTTTGAATGTTGCAAGTTCCAAAAGCAACTCCAATAATAATGAAAGAACAGTGTCACCACTTTTATTTTATTAGATTTATTTTAAAGGGATAAACTGATCATTAAAGTGAAATTACTAAAAAATCTAACCACTTTATGGTTCTAGAGCTGGTCTCTATGGTCACAAGGACAAACAACAAGCAGGATTCAGACAATTTTGTAATCCCCCTCCAGCATCGGACAGCCCAATTCTCGCCTGATCTATAGGGCCACAAAGTATCCCAGCTTTTCTTTCGTCAAATGGAGAGTCAACACGGTCAATGCTAAGTTAATACAGTCTAGCGGTGCAGCGACGTCTATGGCAAGTTTCTCATCTCACCCAAAAGCCAAGAATTCACGCTCTCCCTTCCAAAGAAAACCAGGATCTTCACCTTGAGCACTTGCTCGGCAGGCTTGGTACTGGACCACAACTCGTATTGTGGTGATAAATTTCTTCGCTCTGACGAGTGTTGTATCCTGACTATTCCGCTCGACTATTGTCGTACAAGCTGGAATTGATGTGTGATCAACTCACAGGGTTGGCAAGCCTCCATCCTTCTCGAACGTCTTTCCTCCAAACAACAATTCAGCGCCGGGATTCTCGAGTTATTGGAAGCACTGAACTTTTCCTCTCGAATGATCATTGAAGTAGTCACTGGGATGTATGATGGAAGAGTGTCAAGCTTCGATCAAGCAAGCCTGCAGCTCTTGATGAAAATTTAGGAACCAAGACTTGCCCATTCGAGATCTCGTTGTTCTATCTGAACGATATATCTTCAAACTGTCAAATAAAGTCCTGGCAGGAGCTGAGCTCAGACTTGCGATTTGATCACATCTGCCAGATGGTTAGTTTAAATTGATATAGAATCTTGGCTAACCAAATGCTCTAGAATCTTCTGGAATATCACCATTCTAGAATATTCTCGAATGTTCATGGCTCTGTATAAAAGTGGAGCAATCTCTTGGCCCCAGCATCGATCAAAAGTTTATTAGATCTCATCTTTTTTCTAAGTTCTAGACATGGCTTTGCATTTCTATCGCGGGAATGGCAGCAGCATCTTGGATCCCTTTGAGGAGCTCTCATCGATCTTAGCTGGTGGCAACCAGCCGTCGAAGCAGATGGCCAGGGATGCAAGCGCCGTCGCTAACACTCGCGTGGATTGGCTTGAGACGCCCGAAGCGCACGTCTTCAAGGCCGATCTCCCGGGGCTGAGCAAGGAGGAGGTGAAGATCAGCGTGGAGGATGGCCGCACTCTCCAGATCAGTGGCGACAGGAAGAAGCACGAGACACAGAAGAGCGATAAGTGGCACCGCGTGGAGCGCAGCTATGGGAGCTTCTTGAGGAAATTCCGCCTGCCCGAGAGCGCCAATGTGGATGCGATCAAAGCCCAAGTGGAGAATGGCGTGCTTACCGTCACAGTGCCAAAGATCCCCAAGCCACAGCCAAGAACAATCCAAGTAGAATAGAGGAGTGATCTCATAGATGATTGGAAATCTAGATTCTAGCCCTCTTGCTTGAGTTATATACTAATAAAGGTGGTGTAAATTTGGCACGTAATTAAGGAGGAGGTGTAGCCACTGCAAGCTATCATAGTCTTGTATTTGAATTTTACTAAGTCAGCACAGTTTGACTTTACATTGACTTTCATTGACTTTTATTCTCCCATCAACAGCCCTAGCGAGCCCTATCGCATGGAAGGCAAACGTAAGAGAGGCGGCAAGAAGAAGACGAGGAAGAAGAAGGATGCCAAGGTTCGTGTAGCAGCACCGCATTCTAGTGATGAATCGGAGGATCGCGGGGTGGAGAGCCCTGGTGTGGAATTCGGGCTCGCATTCGCATCCAGGCACTGCGCCGTCCAGCCGCTGGGGAATCTCCTCTTCACGGGCAAGCAAAATATTCGTGATCCAGGGCTTGGGAGTCTCCAGCGTCTCAGCGATGAGATCGTCAGTGATATTTTGGCGCTGCTGGATGCCAAGGATCTGGCGCGGTCGGGCGTCTCGAGCAAGGCATTCTATGTTTTCAGCCACCAGGAAGCGCTGTGGCGGAATCTGGTCCTCGCGGAGCTGAAAGGAGGATTTTTGTTCCAAGGGAGCTGGAGAAAGACTTACGTCTCAGCTCGATCGGCTTGGACAAAGGTAAGGTGTTCTTTGAGAACTTTGTTCGTGGAAGAAGGTTTTGATAGTTTTTGTTTCTTTCCATTCAGGAAGAGGATTTCTCTTCTCGATCGGCTTGTACAAAGGTAAGGTGTTCTTTGGGGCTTTGTCCTTGGAAGAAAGTTTTGATAGTTTGTGTTTCTTTTCTTTGCCAGAAAGAGGATTTCTCTCCTGTCAAGGTACTACTACTTTAAATGACTGCTTTCTTGGCATCGTTCTAAGGTTCTCGTAATGTTCTTCTAGGTGGAAGACTTCTATTCGGACTACTTGTTCCAGAGCTGGCTTTGTGCCAGTGTGGAGATCAAAGACGAGTGGATTTCCAGGGACAACATCGAGCGCAGAAGCCACCTTTCAGTCGATGACTTTGTACGCGATTTCGAGAGGCTGAACAAACCAGTTCTTCTCACCGATGCTATCAACAACTGGCCTGCGCTGAAACGATGGAACCAGGACTATTTACTCGATCTGTGTGGGGACGTAGACTTTGCTGCTGGTCCAGCTGACATGACGCTCAGCAACTATTTCGTCTATGCGAAGTCCGTGAAAGAGGAGCGACCTCTCTACTTGTTTGATCCAAAGTTCGGGGAGAAAGTTCCGCAGCTGGCTGCCGACTATGAAGTTCCTGTGTACTTCAGGGAGGACCTTTTCTCGATACTGGGGAAGGAAAGGCCCGACTATCGGTGGCTTATACTCGGGCCTGCAAGGTCTGGCTCCTCGTTTCATATTGATCCTAACAGCACTTCGGCTTGGAACGCAGTGGTCAAAGGTTCCAAGAAGTGGATCCTGTATCCTCCGGGTGCTGTTCCTCCTGGTGTTCATCCCAGCCCGGATGGAGTGGACGTAGCAACTCCGGTGTCCATCACGGAATGGTTTATGAACTTCTATCACGAGACAAAGCGGGGCAAGCATAAACCGGTGGAGTGCGTTTGCAAAGCAGGCGAAGTCGTTTTCATACCAAACGGCTGGTGGCACATTGTTATAAATCTGGAAGACTCGATCGCCATCACGCAGAACTACGTTAGCAGGTATTTCTGGTGTATTCGACGTCGCTGATGGCTAACATGTCATTTTTGCTAGGAGCAACATCCTGAATGTTCTGGATTTCCTTAACAAGCCAAATTCCCAGGATTTGGTCTCAGGAACAAAAGATCGCGTTAACTTATACGACAAGTTCAAATCCAGGTACGAGGAGCTTCATCCCGGGTCATTGGAACAACTCCGGAACGAGAAAAGAGCTCAGGAATCTCAAAAGAAGCGGTCTGTTTGGGAGAGTGTAACTTCTGGCGGTGATTTTCGATTCAATTTCGGCAGTTGAAAACAGTAGAGGTAAAAACTTTCAAAGACATTATTTTCTTGGAGTCTCAAGTTTTCTCTTGCAGTTGTCAAAGAATATTGCAAAAGTTTGTTAGAAACTTCTTACTCCATAAGGGGTTGCATTGCCTTTTTAAGCTCTTCAAGAACAAACTTCATTGTCGGCCTGCTACTTCCGTCGAACTGTAAGCACAAAGCTGCCAAGTTTGCAACTTTTGCAACGCATTCCAGCATTTCTGGAGTTCTAGCATCCAACCTCTTGTCGATCAACTCGCTGATGGCTCCTCTTTGTATGACGCTCATTGCAAATGTGGACAGGTTTTTATCTGAAGCACAGCGAGAGAAGTCTACAGGCATCTGACCTGTTATTACCTCCAAGATGACTACTCCAAAGCTGTAAACGTCGCTCTTATCTGTAAGCTGATAGCTTTGCTGGTACTGTGGATCTATGTAACCCGGTGTTCCATGCAGAGTTGTGGAAATGTGAGTGGAATCTATGGGTACCAGCTTGGAAATCCCAAAGTCCGCTACTTTGGCCGTGAGCTTTTCGTCCAACAAGATGTTCGAGGATTTGACGTCCCGGTGATATATCGGCGGAGAAGCTGCAAAGTGAAGGTACGTAAGAGCCTCCGCTGTCTCCGTCGCAATTCTTAAACGGTTTTTCCAGGATAACGTATCTCCTCGTCTGTGCAGATGCTCGTACAGTGTTCCTCTTGGCACGAACTCGTAGACCAAGAGAGGTACTTCTCTTTCTATGCAACATCCCAGCATCTTGACGAGATTTCTGTGGTTCACTTTCGAGAGGATAGTAACCTCGTTCAGAAACTGTTGAATGCGAGGGGCATTGCCGTTGTTGGCTTTCTTGATAGCCACCGTGGTGCCGTCGTCCAGTTTACCCTTGTAGACTGTGCCAAAGCTGCCAGTGCCTAACTTGAGGTCGCTTCTGAAGCACTTGGTGGCTCTCTCCATCTCTGCCCAGGTAAAGATCCTTGAGTTTTCTTTGAAACTGGCCTGAAGATGTTTCAAGTTTCTAGTGCCTGGCAGTGCGGACAATTTCGGCCGGAACTTCCAGAGGAAAAATCCAAAAACGAGAAGAGCTGGTGCGCCTATAGCTGATGATCAACGTGGAAGACACGTTTAAGAAGCAAGCTTTTCTCTTTAAGTAGCTCACCAGGAAGAAGAATAATGTATCGCTTTATCGCGCAGCCACCAGTCAAGGTACCGTTTCCTTTATACCCCGCCAAACACTTGCAACGAAATGATGTTCCTTCGTTGATACAGCGAGCGTTTGGTGCACACGATCCGGGGCTACAGTGATCAACAGCTAAAACCAAGGAAAACAACAAACTGAACTGAGTATGCATCCTCGTCAAATCTGGATAGACTTACGCAAACAGCCACTTCCATTGCGGTATCCGTCACCAGCAAATCCATCCTTGCACAAGCAGTTGTAACCCGGTACGTTGCTCGCGTTTACGCAGTTAGCGTTTGTAGAACAGAGATTTATATCATCGACCGAAGTGCAGGTGCTCCCAGGTACCTCCCACATCAACTCAACGCCATAGCTCGAGTCACTCGGCACGTAACTCTTTGGGAAGATCACGCTGGAGAAGCCGCAAGACCTTGGAGCACAGCTCGTCAAAACAACACTCCGAGCTCCAGCCGGAATCGTGGTGACGCAGCAGTCTTCAAGCGTGCAAAACGGATAGCGGGCGCTAGCGGTGCGATTGCCGGAGTTGGGACAACCGGTCTGGCACCTGGACGCAGTCGGGTAGAGATCCGTGGAGTAGTTGCCCCCGGCATTGCAACCGGTGAGGAAGAACTCGTTGTTCCCGGAGAGGAAGTATGGAGACGTTGGCTTCAAGCCCAAGCTCGCGGTGGCCTCGCTCCCGTTGCAAGACGTGGCCTTGAGGCTGGTCGCGTCGATCACCAGAGTCGTGGCAGTGACTTGGAGGACACGGAAGCTCTCGGTGTCGGTGTGGAGGAGGAGAGCGAAGTGCTCTTGGTGGTGCTGCTTGGAGCTGCTACACTCGAGCTGGAGCTGGGGGTGACCGCATCCAGGAAGCGAGCTGAGCGGCGAAGGTACGAGGATTTCTCCACATCTTTGCGAGCAGATTGATGGTGCTTTTGCTGTGGCAGTGGCGATGATGGTGATGCTCGCAACGATCAAGCAAAGTAGTGAAGGAATTATCGAGCAAAGTTGTGGACAAGGTATAGAAGAAGAAGAAGAATATTTGGGAGGAGAGCGCATTGCTTTTCTTTACCGGGAAGCTGATCAAGGCTTGTTTGGTGGTGCCTGATAAAGGCGACAGCGACAAATCCATGGCGATCGAATCAACGTTTGGTGGCGGAACTAAAAACGAAATGGAGAGAAGAGCGTGTGGTTTGTGTTAGACAGAGTTGCGTTAGTAGTCCAACGGTCAGGATAATTGCCTTCCAAGCAATAGACCCGGGTTCGACTCCCGGCTAACGCATGCCTCTTTTCTCTTCTTTTTATATCTAAAAAGTGCCTATTCATTGCGTTATTCTGTTTTTTTGTAACTTCTACTTTTTAAAACTAACTAGCCAATTTTACATTTTAATATTTTCAAAACGTGCGGTTGCTACGATCCTTTATCACATTGTAGAACTATGATTATATCATTAGAATTTACTTTGCTGGTAACGTAAAACACGGTACTTTTGAACCTTTTGGCCTTTTTAAAATTAATTTTCGAGGGGAATCGAGCCCAGCATATACCAGGAACGAATATCCTATGCAAATACCATTAGGGCTCCAGGGGATAGGGATTATAGGTCGCGGGGCTTCGATCGATCGATCTCTCCCAGGCAGGAATCCTCAAGCTCCAAGAAGCCATCCAATCCGCCACGACGGCGACGACGGCGGCCTCCTCCTCGCTCGCTCGCCGCCTGAGCAGCAGCAGCAGCGTCCTCGCGCGTGGCGGCATGGCGGCGCGGCAATGGCTGCGCCAGATGTCCTCGATGAAGGTAAAGGACGTGCCCGGCTATGTCAAGGAGAATGTGACGCCCGCCAACATCAAAAAGGCGTCGCGCACGCTCATGGACGAGTACTACGACAAGTACATCCAGACGAGCAGCTTCACGCCCGTCTATCACTTCCTCATCGGCGGCACCATCTTTGCCTACATTGTTGCCTATCCCACTGAGATTCGCCACTACCAGCATGAAGAGGAGGAGCGCCTTCGCAAGCTCCGGGAGGGCGGTGGCGGTGGCAGCAAAGGCGGCCATTGATCTTCTAGCTCCTCCTCGATTCATCCAGTTCGCCCTGGTGAGTTCTTTTCTCTTCTCTTGGCAGAGTTCCCTCTTCACGAGTTCCTCCAGCCCTTGGTTCTTTGCTTTCTTTGCTTCTCATTCGTCTACTCAATCGCCATCTTCGTCAATAGAGCTCCAGTTTCCTAGTTGATAGTTCTTTTGTTTTCTTTATCTCCATCGCCATCTTCATCTTGTGGAGTTTTCTCTTCACGACTGTTCGCCTTTTTCTTCTCAATCGCCATCTTTTTTAAAGCTCGACTTTTCTAGCTCGATTTCTCGAAGTCACTCCTTTCTTTCCGGTTCTATATCCTGAATGCTTCTCTTCCAAATGTCTTTCTTTGCTCATTGTCACTGACTAGAGTTGTCTTACAGATTGTGCTGAAAAAAACACCCAAAAAAATGAAACAAGGAAGCAGCAGCTCTGAGGAAGGAAAGGACCTGGCCGTCTCTTTTTCTAGGAACACTGTCATAAAACTCTTGCGTACGCTGGTGTGTGTGAGGTACCTGTCTCCTTTTTCTCTTCGCGAGGGAGGATATCTTTTTGGACCTTCCAGGAACTTTATTCTTGTCTTTGAGAAACTCTGTTGTCTCTCACTTTTGTCATGAAATAACGGTGTTTCTAGGCGCCTTTTGTTTCCTCTGCTACAACTTTGCTGGAGCCAACATCCACTGCATCACGGGCCAGCCTCGTCTCAGCGCGATCGCTCTGAGACGAGCGTCGGGATTGACGACGTAAGCTCTTCCGACCTGCGAGAAAAAGCGGTGCGTAAGTAGGAAGCGAGAGTGTGTGTTTTTTCATCTCACGATTTCTAGCATGGGGAGATCGGCTATGCTGTCGCCAAAGCCGAGGCAATTGCTCAGTGACATCCCGTGCTCCCGCGCGAAGTCTTGGACCCTGAGAGCTTTCTCGTCATTGCTTGCGTACATTCCCTTTAGCTTCCCGGTCAGCCTGTCAATCACAATCTTAGAGGCTTTGCTTGATCGCAGGAAAAAAAAAGAAGTGACCAACCTGCCATTCTCTTCGATTATCTCCGCTGCGTAAACATGGTCTGGAAGAAAAGAAAGAACAAAGGTCTGTGATTAGAGGGAGCCAAGCAACTCAAACCATCCATACCTGCGTCGAGATCTTCCGCTAGAGGAGCCACCAAAAAATCCAACGAGCCAGTCACGAGAACGATCTTAAATCCCTCGGCCTTCAACCTCTTGATGATCGCGGCCGCGTCCTTGAAAATCCTGCAAACCAAAGGAAACAAACTTCTCGTGAACTTCCAACTTCCGTGATCAAACCAAAGAACTTTCCACTCTTACCTGGGCTTGTAGTACTTGGTGTAGATGATCTTGGCGAGCGCGGCCTTGGATTCCACAGTCCTGCCCCTGTAACTCATGTAGAAGATCCGGTTAAACGTGGGCCTGTGGAACCAGTCGACGATGAGGTAGAGAACGCAGGTAAGAATGAAGTAAGGCACCCAAACAAGCCTCACCCACACGGCCAGCTCCTCCACACGGGCGCTAAAATACGCCAACACCACATTCGTCTTGCAAACCGTGCCATCTACGTCGAAGAACGCGGCCTTGCTCTCCACCGAGCTCAATCCACTGGTGTCGATGAAGGCATTGGCATCCGGCGATGGGAGATCCTCCGCGGCGGTGCTACCAGTGGATTCGGTGTAGGTGTTGGTCTTCCTCTCGATGAGATTGGGCCTGGATCTTGGAAAATACATCCCGGCGCCTGCAAATCGGGGCTAGCGGAGACGAGGAATCAGCGCGGAGAGGAAAAGAAGAGGAATTTTGTGACCCCAGGCCACGGATTGGAGCAATGCGGCAAGAGGAGAATCGAGAGATTTACCTTGGAGAAGAAATGTGACCCTGCGATGGATCGATTCGCATCCGCCGGCTGCTAGATTCGCTGCGCTGTAGAGCGGCCGGATTGGGATCATCGGCGCGCAGCGAGCAAGCGTCGCTGGTTCATCCGATCAAACAGTGTCCGATAAACCCTAGGTAGCTCCAAAATGGGCAAAAGAAAATTAAGTTTTGGTCTTTTAGGGTTCTTGGGGTCGAGTTTTAGGGCCTCTTGGGCTCGACTTTTAGGGTTCTTGCGCGCGAGCGATGGCGCCGGGCGCTGGATCAGCGGCCGCGAGAAGGATTTTGGCGCGGGGCATGGCGACGGTGACGGAGGAGGTGAAGCTGAGCAAGAGTAAGTCTGGGGAGTTTAATCTGGTGACGTTTATGGAGACGAGCAACATACGCACAGTCATGCATCTGGTGCCGTTTGTGGGCGCCGTGGCTTTTGTCACGGCGGAGGCGCTGGATTTCTACAGCCAGTGGAGTGCGATCCAGCAGCCCAGCAGACACTAGATCTCCTCTCCTTCTCCTCTCTTTCTTCTTGAAATAAAATGCCCCAATTCCCATCCAAAGCTTCTTGGCATGGCCATCTTTCTTCACAATGAGACCTCTCTTTTGTGTCTCACACTTTGTTTCAGTGAAGAGATTACATTCTTGTTCCATTGACTATGTTGACTTTTTATTGACTTTCTTTGACACAGTTCAAAAGTAGAGCAAATTCAATGCGTAGACAGAGGGATTCATCCAGTGTTGCGGAGGCCGTGCACAAGAAATGGCTTGAAATGATCAAAAGCACAACTGTAGGTGATATTAGCGACTGGATTCAAGGAACGAGAAGCTGCTGGAACCAGAAGTGGGAGTCTACTTAAAACATGTACTGCCGGAAGAGGGGGAACTGTAGGTGCTTTTTGTTTTTGATGGGTCGCAGTCTCTTATAGATACTAGTGTGGAGATAGTGAGCAACATGCAACCAAGGCAGATGGGATGATTCTTCTCGGAAGGCCAGCATCTTGGGATCAATGTTGCAAAGACCCATATACCAGGTGGTGAACATGGACCTTGTTCCTCGGACTACGGATCTCTCTCCAGCTGCGTTGTTCCTTATGGAGTAGCCGCCTCGACAACGATCCAGACGTGTGGAGTGTGTGAGAGGTATTTTCTCCAAGTCAGTTCCTTCTGGTTTCAATTCGGTATGTCATGCTGAAAACACCATAATGCAATTGAAGAATGCGTAGCGATTTGATCAAAGAAACTCTGTGTCAGGACACTGAATGAATAACCATGCTTAAAGGAAAGAAACTTATCTCAATCACAGTGGACATTCCTGTGAATCACGTTTCCCAGAAATGCTGTGCTCCCAACGCAGTATATAAGGGGGAACTAGGGTAGAAATGGGGACTTTTCCCCCTTTTCCTTTTTGTACACTCTTGACGCATCTTTCCAGGGAGCCACCGGTTGACAAGGCTTGAATCCGCTAGCACAGCTTTATGCTGGTGAAGCAGAGAGAGTTGACACCCCAAATTTTGGCACCCGCATTCATGAGAGGCTGCGCTATAATGTACAAAGTTGACAACACCGGTTACGAAATTGCTATTTCGGTCTGGACTTCCCAGGGCATGACTATAGTGCTAGTTTTCGGTCAAGAACAGTAAACAGGGTGGGTGGCTCAAGAAAGCTTCTACCACCGCGTTAAGCCGCGTTAAGGCCGAAGCTTATTAAAGTCACAGGCATCCTAAACAAAGTAGTGACGATTCTCACCAATGTCCGAAAACCATGAACAGCCTAAGTTTTGAAGAAGGAAGAGCTGCCTTATTACTGGCAGGATGGCGAGAATGTTGTGCAGATAACAGTTTATGGTCTCCAAAACAACTTTTATTTTCTCAGTGCTGAGACTAAGGGACTTCTACCTGAACTTTCAATCGGAGTCCCGGATATGGAAGTGGAAGCTGGAAATCAATCAGCCAAAGCAACAGAATGGCTCCATTTGCTGTTTCCTGACAGCTATAACCTTCCAATTCCAAACGTTTGTGACATCGGTAGACTCTGAAGTTAATACTTACAACTGTTTCCAAGGCTGTATAGCACAAGCCAAACTATCAGAGGAAGAACAGGAAGGAGCGTATTGCTGCAGCCTATCGAAATGGATTTGGCGAGAGTTTCGAACAATTTCATGGACGTCTGCTGATTGCCAGCATATGTATGAGGAGGAAAAAGAAAGTCTATGCTTCTCCATCGGATGCTAGAACATCATCAGTAAGTGTAGACACTTTAGGGTTAGGTAAGGCCTATGTCATTTTACTTTGCCGCGAGAGGTTAGCAGCTTAACCGGGGTTCACATCACAGCCGTCAGATCGGCAGAGCCGGCGGCAATGATGTTGCCAGGTAGGCGCACAAAAATCTCTTTTCACCGACCGACATGGTACCATGGGAATAGGGTATATTTTCTCGAAGCCGTCGTGTGGAGCACGCCACGTGTTACGTGTATATAAACGTGCTGAGGTTAGGGTTCAAACAAAGAGGATGAAGCTGGTACCTTTCTCGTGTGGAGGTAAGGCGCAGAATGTGTCTGCTGATCCGGTTAAACTGGTCTACAAGGTATCCTCATTCGATTATGTCCTATGTTTACGGGATTTATCTCTGATGTTAGGGACAAGTGCTTGAGCTGCCAATTTCTTCCGATTTGCCCTACCCCAAAGTTGAGTTCAAAGGTACTTCTTTTCAGTATTTGATTGGTACTATTGAGCTAGTAACAACATGAGGTCTGTTAGATGGCGGGAGAGCCTGGTGCTTAAGCCCTGAAGACGTTCTCACCAATTTCCAGCTTGAGAATTTTGGGATCGTACAGAAGGCAGGGCATATCCTGAAACCGGACTCAGTGCTGCAGGCAAAGCTGGAACAAGTTAGGATTTACGGGGCGGGTGACTTCACAAGGGAGAATTATAAAGCCGGCCAAACCAGCAACGAAGCAGAGCAGGACGAAGAAGAAGAAAAGGAAAGCTTCGATTTGGAGCCAGATGAGGAAAGTTCAAATCAACAAGTCGGGAAATTGGAGGTGATACTTCCTGGGACATACACTGGAGGTGAAGTTGTGATCACCTCTTGTCAAGGGAAGAAGCATGTGTCGGCGGCCACAAATGAAAGTACGACGTTCAGGTGGGTGGGTTTTACAACCGATGCCGCCTCTGTTGAGGTGAGAGAGGTGAAGTCAGGTTATAGAGTTTCACTCATCTACAAGCTCTACAAGGCAACTTGGGAGGCAGAGGTGGACTCTTTCCCACAGGGTATCTTGAAATCGATCCAAGAGGCTGCTGCTAATTTGAAGGACAAGGAGAAATTGGTATATGCATGTGTCCATGACTATCTATGCACACACCAGCATGTTCTGAAAGATGAGTATGAGGATGTGACCTACGATGATGTTGTTCCGTTGCTAAAAGGTTCAGATTCCAGCGTTTACCATGCAATGAAGGATGCAGGCCTTCAAGTTAAGCTGTGTGGCCTTGCCGAATTCGGGTCAGAGACTTCAGACAAGATACGCTATGGGTTACATAATGGTTTTCCTGGCCTCCAGATGATACAAGAGCACTTTGATTTTAATTATGAGGACAGAGGCATTTCTGAGTATGCAGGGGAAGAGTGTCGAGCTGTGGTACCGCGGTTCCTTCATAAGGATGAGTCGAGAGGGATCTACACGGTAAATGAATCGATCAAAGCTGGTATAGTTTAACATATTGATTTTGCAGGATGGTTGGGGAGCTTTTGAAATGGTGGATCATAAACGAGGGTATATGAACTATGTGAAGAAACGAATGGTCTTAACTGGGGAGGAAAGCTCAAGGGATGATGCAGCAAAAAAGGCCAAAATGAGCTAGACACTTGGCCGCCAGCTACCTGGTGAACACACAAGTTTTCTTGCCTGTGGAATTTATGTTTCCTTGTAGAATAGGAGGTTAGTTGCTACTTTGGAGATGATAGTTGTGCCTTCATATATGAGTCTACATCTTCCTGTCACAAGCTCTGATTTTAACAACTCACGATTTGACTGTCTACTTGGTTACTTTGCAAATTCACACAGCACTTGCGTGCTGTTCTTTCGCAGGCTGTGGTTAAGTTTGCACGTTGGTATCAGACCACAACTCAAATCCGTGCAAGATGGTCAATCCTATGTTGAGAAAAGCAGAAGCTCATGAAAAGAGAGGAGGCTTGGCAGAAACACCGAGAGAGGGTACCTATAATCCATGGTGAATGTGTCCTTGCCAATCTTCCCGTCCGGATCGCTCGGCTGCTAGAAGGTCTTCACCGATGCCGGTCGTGCCATCGCAGCGGCACCAGAAGTTAAGTTTGTCGTGCTGGTCCTTTCATACCCGAATATTATAATTAGTTGCTCAAGTGAAAACCTCTAAATGAAACCTGACCTTTTGGATCTGCTGCTTGTTAGGAAATCTGGCTCTCGCACTGAGCACAAGTTGTTTGCATTTCAGTTTCTCAAAACACACAATATTTCTCTATATATTTCAAAGTACTAGTATCATAATGCAGCTCTGTAAATACCTAATAGATGATCCTTATACATAACAACGAAGTTTCACATGACTAGAAGGCCGTACTTTGTTCACTGCGAGCGCTACCTCTATGGTGGAATCTCCGCAGCAGGATGATTTCCTGACGCTGAGATCAGGGATGTCCGGGCATTGGTCTGCCATTGGCAGATTATTGTCCGCACGCTGATATTATTACCAAAAACAAAATGTTAGCATCCAATGTACCTTGTTCAATTCCTGAAATAACAGTAACGGGAGGAGTCCAGTGTGATTCTGCTGTTGATCACCTGACTTCTTGATGACACCCTTTAGTCCATGACGGAGGAAAGCATAGGCGGGCATAAATTTGAACTTTCAAATGAAAGATGATACTAAAGATTCTTTTGCTATATTAATAGTAAAATGGTTTGATATTTTTAATTTACCAAATAATTTTTAAAGGAAACTTTTAAAGAAATAAACATTTTTTATTAACAAAATCTAGTTAGTTGACATTCTCACTTTTGCAAGCAAGTCAGGAGTGGCATGCTCCCTAATTGAGATGGCTGCACTTTCCACTGCTCCAATTAGCTCCTCTCCCACATTTCCTTCTTCCATGCTTCCACCCAGCTTGGCTACTCGTTCCATCACAGAGAAGAGTCTACTTGCCACAACTCGCGCGCTTTGATTCCATTTCTTCTCTGCCAAAAGCTTCTGCAAGCTATGAGGAAGCTGACGGACTATCTGTGGCTCGCTCAGAGTGAAGAGGTACGAGTCGGGGCTCCATATGCTCGTAAGCAATGCCATGAACGAAATGGCCTTCACAAACAGATCCCGAGTGAGTTCTTGCCCATGTAGAGAATGCCTTACCGTTGAGGGAAACTTTGATACGTAAGCTGTGTCGATTGTATCCAGTAACCACTCATGCTTATCTTCAAACTGGGCGTCCTTTAGAGCCAATGCACATTCGGTCATCAGCATCCAGTGTCCTGCAAAAGAAACGAGCTGAAGAGAAAGGACTGGAAAAATGCCAGTGAGGAGGAACCTGTTATCTGCCTGTCTAGCAGTCGAGAACGCACGACTTTCAGTGACGACAGTGGGAGAACTTTCATAGCGGCCAGCCGAGACCTTGCAAACGCAACCTTTCCAAAGCTTTCGTCCTGGATCTGCAAGCCAAACCTTCTATTATGTACTTCTGTAAGCGTATGTAGCTTACCTTGAAAACGTCTAGCAACCAGCTCGTCCTTGCGTGTTTCAGGCATTCCAGAGCTACTGACCACTCCATTGTATCTCTTTCGGTCTCTTCCGTGTCGTTGTGATCGATAAAACGTGCTGGAGACATGGATATTAGCTGTCTCATGCAGCTCTCGATGTGTACGAGAAGATCTCTTGTATCTGTGGCCCAGAACTTAGCAAGTCCCTTCCAGCATTCGACTCTGCATTCGCGAGCGTCGGTCTGGAGTTTGCCAAGTACTTGTATAACGTCGACTAGAAGTTTCTCCATGCGGGCTAGCGAGAAGATTTTGTGGAGGTCACCGAGACGGCTCAGCACGACTGTCCGCAAACTTGTTTCGATAGTGACCAGCTTCGAGCCTTCACATACCTCGTCCAGAACACTTGCTAGAGGAGGAACTTTGTCGGCATGACGAAAAGAGAAGATCAAGCACCGGTTTCTAACGTCTCCATGATCGGGACCTGACGATGGCTGCAGAAACCACTCCTTGTGCTGCATGATTCGACGTATCAGACCTCCCCAGTCGAGCATAGGGAGTCTCGGAGCCTCTTCTAAGCATCGCATCACACTGATGACCTCATCACATGGAATACCGACCTGAACCAAAGAAAACATACGAAGATAAGCATCATAGCAGCTAAAGTCACATTCTTTACCTTCGTCAATCCAATGCTGGACAGCCACTCGCTCAGCAAACGCAAGGTGCTGTGCGCTGGAAGACTTGACAAGCTAACCGGCTGATAGCTCCAACGAACTGTTGCTCTAGTGGGCCGCTCACTACCTTCTGCTGACACCCGCCCTTGGCTCACACGTAGCCATGCAGTGTGCATAATAGCAAGGCACCACCTTGCGTAGCCTCTCAACCGGCCACCTTCGCTTGAATGAGAGATGCGAACTATTTGTTGTAACATTGTTCTCAGCGTCCCCCCGTGAGCACTGCTGAACATAAGAGGAGTTGTCACCTTGTTTCCAGCTTGTAAAGAAGAGACTACGTGTTGCTCGGCTCCTTGAGGTTCGAACTCTGAGGCAACACCAGCTCCAAGAGCGTTTGCCAGCCCGAGCATTGCTCCGAGACAGTAATGCGCATCTTCCACCTGCGTGTAGCCTCTGTGAAGAGTTTCCAGCAAGTCTCTCACTGTTTCCTGAGCCAGCGGATGTGCTCCTGTCTGAAGAACCTTTGCCACAAGGCCTCCATAACCGATGCAGCTAGCCTTGAAAACATGCGCAAGCCAAGGCTGTGAGCTCCGCTTTGACTGAGGCAAGTCGACGATCTGCCGCACGAAACTACCGAGTCGGCTCAATAGTGACTCTATCTCCGCCAACTCTAGTAGCTCAAGCCTGTCTGATGCTTCCACGCACGTCGGGAGCACCAAAGAAGCGCCTGTTGCAAGACACATCGTTCCGACTTCGTCAATAGAGTCTGGTATCCAAGAGAACACTGCTTGAGTGATACGTTTTACCAGCGTTGTCTTTCCTGCTTTGCCGAGGGGCGTCACCGACTTTCCCAAGGCCCATACCAGACCCACTATAGCCCAAAGGTCATCCTCCTCATTCCTTGAATCTTTCACGTTCGTTTCCTGAGTGAACACCTCTGTTGTAAAAAAGCTGTCTTGAGATAGTGCCAACATTGTCGAGAAAATCTGGGGACAGCGGAGAGCAAGCAGCTTCAAAACACAGTGTACAATGTCGGACAGCAACGCGCATTCTTTCGAGCTGCCCATGCTGGAAAATTCTGACAAGAACAGGCTTTGGCAAGCGATCCCGAGCCCCGTAGCAGCTGACCCGACGACAAATGCGTTGTCGGCCTCGGTTGCAGACTGAATAAATAGTTAAGTTAGAAATGAAATCCAAAATCATGTAGCTCACCTGTATCAGCAAGCGCACTGCATTAGCTTTAACATCCCAGTCTGTGGGATGCAAGGAAGTTGTTAGCACTCCGAGGGACACGGCTGCCGAGCATTGCGCAGATTGATGCTCCAAAGAAGATATTCTTGACTCAAGATATCTTGCAACAGAACTTGATGCCAAACTAGGTTGGCGTAACGACTGCATAACCTCAAGTTAGATAGGCTATGGCCACTCATACGTACCCGGGAAAATGCTGCCAAAGCAAGAGTTGAGTTTTCAGAAACTCGTGGGATCCCTTCCTCAGAAGCATCAATACAGGCCTGCTGCAAAATAAGTAAACACAACAGAAATTCGCACGCCAAAACTATTTTACCTTGACTATATGTTCACACGCTACTTCAGCGTTTCCATGGAGTTGACAGCCGAGTTTTAGCCACTGATGCATGAAGCAGGACCAAGAGAACAGCGAAATTAACACCATGATCAAATCTCCGGAAACATTTAAGGTTTTTGCGACTTCGAAGAATACGCTCTTGAGGCCTTCCTCTTCGACCCTCAAAGCCTGCAGATGCAGATGATTGTTGTAAGCTCTCCAAATAAATATAAAAAGCAGCTATATACTTACCGATTTCTTCGCCGTTGCTAAACTCCCTCGGCTTGCATTCCAAAAAAATAAGAGCGAGCCTGGATAGTCGTTTTCTGCAGCATACAAGAAAAATTTAATACAACGCAAGAGCAACCCATTGTCTTACGAGTCGAGCTGGTAAATGTACGAGGAATGCTTTCTAGCATCTTTTCAAGCTTCGACATGATAACCTTCTCAGTAGTAGCTCTTTGCCGCGTGCTACATGCAAATAGACGTTACGAAAAAGATTGTAAATGAAAGCACGCACTTATGCTCGTAGTCAAGAAACTTGGCAACAAGTCTCTCGCATTGGTATTTAGCGGCAGTACTGGCCCCGCGTAGAAGTATATCCACATGCTTCCCTTCATTTACCATAGTCTCTTTGAGTAGCTCCACCTACTTATTCACACAATTCAATTTGCTTAGAAATGCGTGTATGCATACCTCGTATTCACAAAGCGATTCTACAGCTGCTGATCTCGTTCGATACCACTCTTCAGATGGCTGCTTGTCACATGAAGAAAATTCCCAGAGCGCATTCAATACTGCATGGGCATCTTCAGCATTCAGATTGGCATCGAGAGCTCCATGCTTAAGCAACATGCAAAAACTACCAGCTTGAACTTTAGTATTTAGCTCGAGTTC